CCACCCAGGCGCCCCAATGATCCTGATCTTAATAATCATCCCACAACATATACGTAAAGCCAATCACTGTGCTGTATGCTTTAAATATATACAACTCTATTGGTCAATTTTTCCCAATTACTTAATAAAGTTTTAAAAAAGACATTTTCAGACAAACCCAAAACAGGATGACTTATTTTCATTTTAATAATTCAAAATATTTATTAGGATTCTATCAGTCTACTCCCCCAGGCCCCAAGGAAACAACAGTGAACAAAAGAGACAACAGCCCTACTGTCATGGATTTCATGTAGTGGGAGAGACTGATTAAAATAATAATAACAATTAAAATTAAACTAATTAAACTAATAACATAATGTCAGATAGAAGCAGGTGCTGTGAAAATATAAAGCAAAATAAAGGGACTCCTTCAGAGTCTGAAGGAGGCTGCCGTTTGGGATTGGTGATCAGGAAAACCTCTCTACAGAAGCAACATTTAAGCAGATACCAGAAGTAAGGAAGTAAGCTCTGTAGCTACCTGGAGAAACAGAAACCGTGTAGGAGCATTCTGAAGATCTGAAGGATCAGCAAAGTGGGAGAGTGATAGAAGATTAAAATTCTGGTAAAGTGGAAAGGAGCAGTTTTCTTTTTGTTTCAAGTACTGTTCATAACTATGCAAATACTAGATCTTTCATACAGTAAATACTTCTTGTGAGCCTATAAAATACCAGACTCTGGGCTCAGTGCTGGGGATAGCGGTAAACAAAATCACCCGGGTCTATCACAAAATAAATGAAAAGTTCAACCATATGAAGGCAAAGTGCATGGAGTATGTAGACCAGGGGAAACCTGCTCTGGGTGGGGTCGGGGGGTGGGGGTGGTTACCTAAGGAGACTACATTCCAACTGAGTCGTGGAGGATGAGAAAGAATTAACCAGATGGCCAGTGGAAAAAAGAGTATTCCAGGCAGTGGGAGCAGCATTTGCTAAAGCCCTGTGGTCAGTGGGAACACATAGGCAACAGCTAGAGATCCACCAAGTGAGGTCCAGGCTAAAGTAAAGCTGATGACTTGGCAGAGGCTACAGTGTGCAGGGTCGTGGGCTTGTAGTCATACTGAGGACTTGGCCTTTAAATCATGGGCAACTGGAAGCTACTGAAGTGTTTTAAGCCATTTAAGAGTTTCAGAGTTCTGGGTACATTACAGCATTTTTAAGAATGAAAGAGGTGCAGTCAATAGTTGGGCGTGCTTTACTTTGTCTCTGCTTGCCCAGGTTTACATACAGGTTTATTTTGATCCATCCAATGGAAACGTCCCCAGCATTCTCTTAAATTATCTAATGTTATAATGTTAGTGAAATTAGGCTAAGCAATAAAGTCTCAAAGAATTCCCATTCCAAGAGCAGTCAAAGTTTTCTGTTTACATTAGCTCACACTTGCTTATCATCCAGAAGTCCCAAACAAGCGTTGCATGAAGAACGAGCCTAAAATGTTTCTCAGAGCTTCAAACTCTAACATCTGCTCTGAAAATGCAATTGAAGATAGGGTGCAGTCTTGGACTCTGGAACTGAAGTAAGACATACAGATACATATCGGAACCAAAGACCATATTTGGGGATTATTTTCCACGAGAAGGATAACAATGACCCTGCCTCATAATGAATCAAATCAGAGGAAGGAAAGGGGCTTTTATTGACCTTGTGTTCCAGCACAATCAGTCCAGTGTGCACAAACCATTTATCTAGCAGCTGACATACAGCATAAAGAATGCTCTGAGGCACCTCCTACCAGAGTTGATAAACAGAACTTTCTTCCATTAAATAAGGTAATATCTGAGGAAGCAAAGGCAAAAGGAAAGGGCAAACACCAGGGGCATATCAGACTCGTGGAACTCTCAGGACCCTGCAGGGCAGGGACAGACATCCCCTGTCCACGTTAATAGGCTCAGAGAAGCTCAGGATTGCACAAAAATTACAGAATTTGGAGGGAAACACTCTGGGGATGGCTAAAGAGACAATTCTTTAAAAGGCAGGGAGGTATGAGACTCAGAGCAGGGACCATAAAATATATCTGCTTTATTTCTGTCCAGTTCACAAATTCAGAAAATGAGGATATGGAAAATTCAAAAGGAATTGCACATGTCAAGCAATTTATTAAGAGACGTCTTAACTTTGGAACAATTACAACTTGAGAGAATAGTGGCCAGCAGTATCAGAACCCTGGCCAGAACGCTCACACTCTTCTGAACATTTCTGTAGGAAAGGACTTTTTCAAATGAGACTGTTACTTACAGAGAATTTCCACCCTCCCTTGAGAAGATTTATTCTGAATTGTATCCCCAGGAATCAATTGCACAACAACAGACTAGATTAAAAAAAGAAGATGGAAGTGTCTTGATTGCTTGACCTGTTGAATAAGATTTAAGACTATTTCCCTGAATCTGTTAGGTCTATGGATTACTTTATCTGTTTATTAATTTCAAAAGATTCATGAACAAATGATATGTGATCAACAAAAGAAAATTCTTACTTCCTAATAATTAAAGAATGGTAAAGGAACCCTCGAAGCACATTAAATAAGTTACAAGCGTCTTAATTCATCAAAATATAAACATTCATTTCCCCAAGAAGCAAACAGCTTTATAAACATATGTCTAAGTATATATATATGTCATCATTTATTCATTCACATAATAAACTTTATTCAGCACCCATTAGTAGCTAGATGCTGGGATATGTATTAGGACACAAAAAACCTTTCTCCTGCCTCTGGATGTTTACAGGCAAAGAGAAAAAAACGTTCATTTTTCAAGTAAGTGCAATACAATATTCCAAGTGTCATGATGAGTAGCAAATCTACTAGGTCATTCACAGATTCATAAACAAAAATTGCCCACCCACTATATGCCAAGGATCATTTGGATTTACAAATAATAAAAGCAGTCCCCGTGAGGGGCAGAGTCACCTTAGAGGAAAGATAATTTTTTGTTGTTGTTTCAAATGTACATAATGATGTATAATTGTGTACATGTGTATTATCTGGGTAATTGAGCTGAACATTAAATAAGCTTCTTTTCCTAAAGGCATCTTTCCTTTGCAAGCCAAGACATGAAACTAAAGCCTAAATCAGTTAAGTATGATGTTTGAGAACCATAAAATAATTGTCCTTACCAGGAATACAGGATTGTTCCAACAACAGATGTTAGTTTACTGTTTTCTTGTTTTTGCTTTGCCAGCCCAAAGTCAGCTATAATTCACAAAAAAAAAAAAAAAAAAAACAATGTTATTATACTTTCCCTAAATTATCATGGTTTCTTAGCTTTTGGCATTCTGTACAATAACTATTAAAGTTCACAACATAAAGCTTTTTTATAACCTTCTGTCAAAATGCCCCATGTGTCAATCTTCCACACCACTCTCAGCTTTAATTAATAACATACATACATACAATAGGTCATTGCACTATATACTTTGTTTTCTTTTTAATTTTTTAAAGTTTATTGATTTATTTTGAGAGAGAGAAAAAGTACACGGGGGGAGGCCAGAGAAAGGGGGAGAGAGAGAATCCCAAACAGGATCCAATCTGACAGTGTGGAGTCCAATGCAGGGCTCAAATTCACGAACCACAAGATCACAACCTGAGCCGAGACCAAGAGTCAGAGGCTTAACCAGCTGAACTACCCAGGCACCCCATTGCATTATATACTTTGAAATAATGAGATATATCAGTAAAACACTAAAATAAGTCTTGCTAACTAAAAAATAGGGCAAAATACTTTTTGAGCTGATGATGCCACCTTTTAGGTTATCTTTGTAATTTTCAAATAAACAAAGTGAATCTAATATTTTGGCATATGCCAGGCATCACCTCATCTGGAAGAAAGAAAGAAAGAAAGAGAGACAGAGAGAGAGAGAGAGAGAGAGAGAGAGAGAGAGAGAGAGAGAAAGGAAGGAAGGAAGGAAGGAAAAATAAAAAATAATATAAGCTTGAATAACCACCATGAAGATCTGAAAAATCTGATACTAAATGGCATCAAACTGTATTAAGCCATAGTAAATAATGATATTAAGAATCACCTCAATATATGTATATATCAACAAAGGATTTTGATTTTTTTGATTTTTAACTTAGAACACCAAATATTTATATTTCATATTAGCACTAGCTGTATTTTCCAATGCACCTTTAGATACTTTTTGAAACCACTCAACAACTTAGGTCAAAGAGATACAAAGAGATACTCTTCATAGCCTCACTATACAGACTTACTAACATTCCGAGAGACTTATTTAGCAGGATTACACAAAAAAGTGCTGAACCAGGGCAAGAATTCAAGTTGCTATGCCTAATAAGATTTGATGTTCACAATACCACTTTGTACAGTGCATCCAATGCTGATGGAATTTCACTGCAGTGAACTTGAATGAGAGTGTTTGATAATGTATCTATACAATAGGTCTTTCAGGTTCAAAATATCCTAAAGTAGTTAGACTTCAAACTAACAATAATTGACATTATTAATAACAATGTCCATTTACTAAACAACAACTTTGAAATAACACAAATTTTGCTGCTTACATGAATTGTCTAATTTAATACTAATAGTAACCCTGAAAGATAGGTATTTTTTTTTAATTTTTTTTTCAATGTTTTTATTTATTTTTGGGACAGAGAGAGACAGAGCATGAACGGGGGAGGGGCAGAGAGAGAGGGAGACACAGAATCGGAAACAGGCTCCAGGCTCCGAGCCATCAGCCCAGAGCCTGACGTGGGGCTCGAACTCCCAGACCGCGAGATCGTGACCTGGCTGAAGCCGGACGCTTAACCGACTGCACCACCCAGGCGCCCCGAAAGATAGGTATTTTTATAGTTAGTGCAGCTTAGCACTTAAAAGCAGTAACCCAGGAACCGGACAGTCTCAATTCAAATCCTGGCTCTATTATGTGCTACCAGAGTAACCCTGGTCAAGTTACTGAATCTCCCTTTGTGGTAGCTTGCTTACCTGTAAAATAAGGATTATAATAGCATAAACACCCAAATAAACAAGGAAGAAGTCAAACTTTCACTATTTGCAGATAACATGACATTCTATGTAGAAAAACTGAAAGACTCCACCAAAAAATTTGCTAGAACTAATACATAAATTCAGCAAAGTCATAGGATATAAAATCAATGTACAGAAATCTGTTGCAATTCTATATACCAACAATGAAGCAGCAAAAAAAATAAATCAAGAGATCAATCCCATTTACAATTGCATCAAAACCAATATGGTACCTAGGAATAAACCTAACCAAAGGGGTAAAAGATCTGGATGGTAATGAAAACTATAGAATACTTATGAAAGAAATTGAAGGGGACACAGAGAAATGGGAAGAAATTCCATGGAAGAACATTATTGAAATGTCTATACTACCCAAAGTAATCTACACATTTAATGCAATCCCTATCAAAATATCACCAGCATTTTCCACAAAGCTAGAACAAATAATCCTAAAATTTGTATGTAACCCCTAAAGGCCATGAATAACCAAAGCAATCCTGAAAAAGAAAAGAAAAGCAGAAGGCATCATGATTCCAGACCTCAAGCTATATTACAAAGCTGTAGTCATCAAGACAGTAAGGTACTGGCATAAAAACAGACACATAGATCAGTGGAACAGAATAGAAAACCCAAAAATGAATCCACAAATGTATGGCCAACTAATCTTTGACAACTAATTCTTTGGCAGGAAAGAATATCCAATGGAAAAAAGACAGTCTCTTCAAAAAATGGTGTTGGCAAAACTGGACGGCAACCTGCAGAAGAATGAAACTGGACCACTTTCTAATACCATACACAAAAGTAAACTCAAAATGGAGGAAAGACCTAAATGTGAGCCAGGAAACCATCAAAATCCTAAAGGAGAACACAGGCAGCAACCTCTTTGACTTCAGCAGCAGCAGCTTCTTACTAGACACATAGCTAGAGGCAAAGGAAACAAAAGCAAACATAAACTATTGGGACCTCATCAAGATAAAAAGCTTCTGCACAGTGAAGGAAACAACCAGCAAAACTAAAAGGTAGCCTATGGAATGGGAGAAGAATTATATATTGGATAAAGTGTTAGTATCCAAAATCTGTAACGAACCTATCAAACTCAACACCCAAAAAACAAATAATCCAGTTAAGAAATGGGCAGAGGACATGAATAGACATTTTTCCAAAGAAGACATCCAGATGGCTAACAGACACATGAAAAGATGCTCAACATCACTCATCATCAGGGAAACACAAATCAAAACCATGATGAGATATCACCTCACATCTATCAGAATGGCTAAAATTAACAACACAGGAAACAACAGATATTGGTGAGGATGCAGAGAAAGGGGGAACCCTCTTATACTGTTGGTGGGAATGCAAACTGGTGCAGCCACTCTGGGAAATAGTATGGAGTTCCTCAAAAAGTTAAAAATAGATCTACCCTACGACCCAGCAATTGCACTACTAGTATTTACCCAAAGGATTAAAAAAATACCGTTTCAAAGGGATACATGCTGCCTGACGTTTATAGCAGTATTATCAACAATAGCCAAACTATGGAAAGAATCCAGTGTCCATCGACTGATGAATGAATAAAGAAGATGTATATATATACAATATACTACTACTCAGACATCAAAAAGAATGAAATCTTGCCATTTCCAATGACATGGATGGAGCTAGAATATATTGTGCTAAGTGAAATAAATCAGTCAGAGAAAGACAAACCCCACGTGATTTTCCTCATATGTAGAATTTAAGAAAACAGATGAACATATGGGAAGGGGAAAAGAAAAGAGAGGAAAGCAAACCATAAGAGACTCTGAATGATAGAGAACAAACTGAGTGTTGATGGAGAGAGATGGGTGCGGGTTGGGCTAAATGAATGATGGGTATTAAGGAGGGCACTTATTATGATGAGCACTGGGTATTATATGTAAGGATGAATCATTAAATTCTACTCCTGAAACCAATATTACACTATACGCTAACTAACTAGAATTTAAATAAAAATTTGAAAAAAATAGCATAAATAGTAGTAAGTAGTATAGTACAATAGTAAAATTTGGATAAATTAACATATGTAAGTATAGGATGATAAAGGATTGAACAACTGATACATATCATGATTCAATCTTCATAGCCACTAATTTATAAATTAGGAAACTGAGGTTCAGTTTACTCAGAGATTAAGTAACTTACTTATGGTCTCACCAGGAGAAATTAACAGTCAGATGTGAATCAGGCTTATCAAAATCACAAAATCCTTATCAAAACATTATACTGCCAACAAAGAAAAATTAGGCCCAGATCATTTCAAACATTTAAGAAATAAGTATCAATTCTGCACAAACTCAACTAGAAAATACAAGAGGAAAGAACACTTCCCAACTCATTTTGTAAAGCCAACATTACTCAGAAACCAAAGCCAAAGACATTACAAGAAAAGAAAAATGCAGAATGCTATTCCCCATGAAAATAGACACAAAAAAATCAACAAAACATAGGCAAATAAAATCTAGACATAGATAAAAAGAATAAATACATAGGGACCATTATGCCAGAAATACATGTGTGATTCAACATTTAAAAATCAATCAGTACAGTTCACCAAATCAATACAATAAAGAAGGAAAATCATATGACCATATGTATAAAAAGGATTTGATAGGGGTGCCTGGGTGGCTCAGTCGGTTGAGCGTCCGACTTCAGCTCAGGTCATGATCTCACGGTCCGTGAGTTCGAGCCCCGCCTGGTTCTGTGCTGACAGCTCGGGGCCCAGAGCCTGTTTCAGATTCTGTGTCTCCCTCTCTCTCTGACCCTCCTCTGTTCATGCTCTATCTCTCTCTATCTCAAAAGTAAATAAACATTAAAAAAATTTTTTTAAAAAGGGATTTGATAAAATTCAACATCTATTGTTTTCAACAAAGTATAAATAGATGTTCATTTCTTTAACCTGATAAAGGGCATCTACAAAAAAGTACAGCTAACTTTCTACTTAATGCTAAAAGATTAAATACTTTTCCTTTAAGTTCAAAAACAAGGCTGGATGTCAACAAGATTTGTTGTGGTGATCATTTTACAATACATACAAGCACCAGGTTATTATGTTGTACACCTGAAAGTAATATCATGGTGTATGTCAATTATATCTATTAAAAAAACAGACAAATAAAAGATGTGGCAATCTTGGGGCACCTGAGTAGCTCAGTCAGGTAAG